TCATTGATTTTTTTTTAGACAGGGGAAAGAAGAGAGAGAAACATCCATGTGAGAGAGATACATCAATTGGCTGCCTCCTGCACGCCCCCTACTGGGGATCGAGCCCACAACCCAGACATATGCCCTGACCAGAAATCGAACCAGGACCTTTCAGTCCATGGGACATCGTTCAGTCCACTGAGCCACACTGGCCAAGCTCCATAGTTTTGTTTTTTCCAGAATGTCATGTAGTTGGAATCACACAATATCTAGTCTTTTCAAGCTGACTTCATTCACTTAGTAATACGCAGTTAAATTTTCTCTTTGCCTTTTCATGGCTAGATAGCTCATTTCATTTTAGTGCTGAGTAATATTTCATTGTCTGACTGTACCACACTTTACCCATTCACTACTGAAAGACATCTTGGTTGCTTCCAAATTTTGGCAGTTGTGAATAAAGCTGTTATAAATATCATGTACAGGTTTTTGTATAGACATGTTTTCAACTCCTCTGGGTAAATACAAAGTTTGATGGCTGGACTCTATGATAAGAGTATGTTTAGTTTTATAAGAAACTGCCAAACTGTCTTCCAGAGTGCCTATACTATTTTGCATTCCCATCAGCAATGAATGAAGGTTACTGTTACTCCATATAATTGGCCATTCTAATGAGAGTTTAACCATTTTAATAGGAGTATAGAGTATTCCACAGTGAAGTATAGTGGTAGCTCATAGTTGTTTTAATTTGCATTTTTCTGATGACAGAGGTGTGGGGCATATTTTTATATGCTTATTTTCCATGTGTAATATCTTTGGTGAGGTGTTTGTTAAGGTCTTTGGCCATTTTTTGATTGGGTTGTTTATTTTCTTACTGTTGAGTTTTAAGGATTCTTTGTATATTTTGGATAACAGTCTTTTATCAGATGCTGCTTTTGCAAATATTTTCTCTTAGTCTGTAGCTTGTTTTTCCATTATCTTGACAGTATATTTTGCAGAGCAGAAATTTTTAATTTTGATGAGTTCTATCCTATTCTCTATTTCATGGATTGCACCTTTGTTGTTCTATGTAAAAACTCATTGCCAAACCCAGGGTCATCTAGATTTTCTCCTGTGTTATCTTCTAAGAATTTTATGCTTTTGTGCTTTACATGTAGGTCTGTGATCCATTTTGAGTTGATTTATGTAAAGGATGTAAAGGCTTTGTCTAGGTTCACATTTTTGCATGTGGATATACTGTGTTCCAGCACTGTTTGTTGAAGAGATTTCTTTTTTCTCTGTTGTGTTGCCATTGTTCCTTTGTTAAAGATCAGTTAGCTATATTTATGTTGGTCTATTAGGGGCTCTCGATTCTGTTTCATTGATCTGAAAAGGCATAGAGGAAACTTAAATAAATGCACATTACTAAGTGAAAGAATCCAGTCTGATTACTGCAGCTTTATACTTAAGTCTTGAAATCAGTAGCTTCAGTCTTCCAGCATTGTTCTTCTCCGTCAATATTTTGTTGGCTATTCTGAGTCTTTTGCCTCTCTATATAAACTTCAGAATAATTTTGTCAATATCATCAAAATAACTGGCTGGGATTTTGATTGGGATTGCATTGACTCTGTAGGTCAAGTTAGGAAGAACTGACATGTTGACAATATTTAGCCTTCCTAATCATGAACATGGAATATCTCTCCATTTATTTAGATTTCCTTTGATTTCATTTATCAGGGTTTTGTAGTTTTCCTCATATGGATCTTACACATATTTTATTGGATTTTTACAAAGATGTTTCATTTTGGGGGTGCTAATATAAATGATATTGTGTTCCTAATTTCATATTCTATTTGTTGATGCTATATAGGAAAGTGATTAACTTCTGTATGTTAACCTTGTATCATGTAACTTTGCTTATTAGTTCTGGAGAATATTTTTGCCAATTCTTTTAGATTTTCTACTCAGACTATAATGTCATCTGTGAACAAAGAGTTTTATTCTTCCTTCCCAAACTCTGTATCATTTATTTCCTTTTCTTGTCCTACTAATTTAGGTAGGAATTAGAGTACAGTGGTAAAGGGGACAGCCTTCCCTTGTTCCTGATCTTAGTGGTAAAGCTTCAGCTTTCTCATTATTAAGTATAATGTTAGCTGTAGGTTCTTTGTAGATAGTCTTTCTCAAGTTGAGGAAGGTCTCCTGTCTTTCTAGTTTACTGAGAATTTTTATCATGAGTGAGTGTTGGAGCCACTCTGCTACATTTTTATGTAGTTGTTCTATAGGTTATTTCAAAATTTTCAGTATTATAGACAATCTAATTGACAAACCTGTAGCCCGTTCTTAGGCATACTCATAATTACTTTCTTAGAATTCATTTAACAGAGTCACTGAGTGTTTGTTGCCAGGAATTAAATAAAAAATTTTAAATAACAAAAGATCCTGTCCCTTTTTTACAGAGTTTGTAGTCTATAAGCAGGTGATAATTATACTGTAATGCGATAAGAGAAATTATGATGGAAGAAGTAGATACTCTGTGGGAGCAGATAGGCCAGTCACCTACCCAGACTCATCTAGAGTTGAAGTTGAGGTTGTGAGAACATCTTTCAGAAGTAATACTAAGCTTATTTGTTTTTTAAATTCCTTCAAGTGAAAATGCTTGAGTAAATGGGGGCCCACCTTTGTAAGAGTTTGGGTATATAAGAATGAGCTTCTGGCCTTGGCTGGTTTGGCTCAGCGGTTAGAGCGTCGGCCTGCGGTCCGGAGAGACCCGGGTTCAGTTCCCGCTAAGGGCACGTACTTTGGTTGCAGTTTGTCCCCAGCCCTGGTTGATTGAGCGGGTGGCAGCCACTCGATGTGTCCCTTCACATCGATGTTTCTCTGTCTCCCTTCCTCTCTCTCCCTCCCACTCTATCTGTACAAAAAATGGAAAAATATCCTCGGGTGAGGATAAAAAATAAAATAAAATAAAATAAAATAAAGAATGAGCTTCTGAGAGAAAAGAAAGCTTCTCCTTTAAATTTTCCCATATTAATGTTTTTAAAGCTCTAAAGAAATGTTCTCATGTCATGGAAGATAGTTCATTTAAGTAGCTGACGAGAAAATTATATGAATTAAGAGTGGCCTCAAAAGATTATTAATCATACAAAAAGTTTACCAATTATAAAGAAAAAATAGATAATTTACCATTACTAAAATTAAGAACTTCTGTTCATTAAAATCTATCATTAAAAAAGCCATACATACTGGTAAAAAAAATATTTGCAATATGTATTTGACATGACAAAGAACTTTTATCCAGAACACATAAAGAACTTCTACAAATCAGTAAGAACAATAGAAAAATGGACAACATACTTGAAGAGACGCTTCAAAAAGAGGATATTCAAATGACCATTAAACATGAAAAATTGCTGAGCACAATACTAAACATATGAAAAATTCAAACCACAGTAAGTTATACTCTATACCTGCCATAATAGCTAAAATGAAATAGATGGAATATATCAAAATGTTGACAAGGAGCAACTGGAATTTCCATGTATTGCTTGTAGAAGTATAAATTATATAACTGTAGAAGATTGTTTAGTGATCCAGCTATTCCACTCATAGGTACATACCAAACAGAAATTTGTTCGCATGTTTGCTAAAAGTATATATACTATAAAGTTCATACACTTGATAGTTGTAAAACTGCTAACCACGCAAAGGCCCATCAACAGAATGGATTGTATATTCACACAGTAGAATATTTTATAGCAACAAGAATGATGGTCTATTACTACATACAACAATATAGAAGAATCTCATACACATAACATTAAGAACAAAAACCAATCACAGAAGAATATCTTCTGTATGATTCCCTTTTTATGAAAAGCAAAAACAGGAAAAACAAATTCATGCTGGCAGAAGCCCATGTGGGGTAAAGAATAGATGGAAGCATGAATAGAGCTTCTGGGTTTGATGATATTCTGTTTTCTTTCATGATCTAGGTGCTAGTGACACAGGGATGGTGGGCTTGTGAAAATAGCTAGCTGTGTGTACTTTTTTTTAATCCTCACCCCAGGACATGCCTATACTGATTTTATAAAGAAAGGGAGATGGGGAGAGAGAGAGAGTGAAACATTTATTGATTGCCACTCACAAGAGCCCTGACTGCGGATAGGACCCGAAACCTGGGTAGGTCTGACTAGTAATTGAATCGGTGACCTTTTGGTGTACAGGATGACATTCCAACTAACTGAGCCACACCAGCCAGGGCTAGCTGTGCACTTCTGACATATTCAATTTTCTTTTTATGTTATGTTGTTTTAAAAAATAATACTGGTCCAGCCGGTGTGACCCAGTGGTTGAGCGTCGACCCATGCACCAAGAGGTCACCAGTTCAGTTCCTGGTCAGGACACATGCCCAGGTTGTGGGCCCATTCCCCAGTGGGGCGCATGCAGGAGGCGGCCAGTCAATGTTCTCTCTTATCGATGTTTCTCTCTCTCCCTCTCCCTTCTTCTCTCTCTAAAATTAATAAAGGGGGAAAAAGTTTTTTTTAAGTAGTAATGGTTTTAAATATAAGAAAACTATAATACTAAAAGCTTTACAATCTAGAGTCCATTATGTTGGTCATTATACTTTAAGGTTAAGAAGTACAAAAATAGTTCCTTAGTTAATTAAAATGTAAACGTTTGGAGAGAGGACATATTTTTAGTTTGAAACTAAAAATGTTACAATAGTAGTCTTAATTCAACTAGTATTAAACCTTCCTCTTAAAATAAAGCAGTATTTTGAACTTCTTACAAATGTAACATGTTTTTAAGATTTAGTTTTGACTATTACAATCTTAAGTGACTTTGTTAAAAGAAGGGAGATGAGTCAAAATGTGTTTTTGGTTCAATCTTATCCTCAGAGGAGGAACTATAAATAACTGTTCTTGTTCTTTCTTCCCTTCCTATCAAGGGAATGGTCTATTTCTATAATGTATGGAGACATAATTATAACAGATAAACATGTCAACCCATTATCTATCACTGTTTTGTTTTTGTTTTTTTCGCAGTCAATTCCATCATCTCCAGAACCAATTAGTCTTCTTACAGAAGATGTTAGTTCAAACTCCAATGGTCCAAAACCTGCAGAAATTGTGCTAGAGGATGACAGAGAAGATCTTTTTGCAGGTAATTGTAACTATCTTTATTTTTTTTAATAATGGACAATTGTAGTATATATTCTGTTAGAATGTATTCTATAAAGCAAACTGAAATTTTGTGTAAAATGTTAGTGGTGGCTCTTCTTGTTAACAACTTAAATGACTAAGAAATTTCTAGTTAGGTAACTGAAAATATAAACTGTTGAGAGAAGCAAAAATGTGATATTTTCTGGTTTTCAGCATGTGAAAATAAATCATGTATTGTAATTTGTTTGTTTTGATCAATTCTTAGAGTAAAGAAAAATGAATGGTTGGGCATTTATACTTTGAGAAATAGCAGTGTTTATATTCTTTATTAATTACACATTGTCACAAACCAAAATTAAACTTTGGATTTAAAAATCACTTGATTTACAGTCTATATATATTTGAAATATGTTTGTTTTAATGCTTCGGTATTTACCACCTGTTCCATTTTTATTCACTTTTAGGTGAGTAAATTGATGCATGAGGAATTTAATTTTGATATGAGGTCAGAGTTTGGTGTAGTCTATCCTACCTTTGAAAAAAATGGATTCTCTTCAAAATAATCTCCTGCTTAAAAATTAATGTTTGGATATTTAAAAAAACAACAAATCTTTCTTAGAAATGATGACAAAAAATTAAAATAGTTCTGTGTGTTTAACAGTTTAATTTACCTGAGCTTGCTTTCATTGAGTTAAAATTTAATATTACGTCCTTAGCTTTTATAGGGCTTCAATATTCAACCATTCTGAATTTTTTGTGCAATTATGTTTGAAGATATAGTCCTTTATCACAAAGGCCCATATGATTTCTGCCTGATTAGTTCCATGAAGTTCTCACTGTAGATGAATTCATGTATTTTATCATGTCAGAAAGTTTAAAATATGATACCAAATACCAGTCATTTCCCCCCTTTTTATAGCTACCTAACAACTTAGAATAAAATCCTAGATAATCGAAGTTATAATGTGTTTTTTATTTGTTTGTTTCCTTTTATGGACTTTTCCCAAGTAGTCCTTAAAAGTTTTTTCATAGCATTTTTATTCTAAAAATTGATTCCTTTGTCTACTAAATAGGTAGTATTAATCTAAAATTATAATATAGGGTATACATAAATGTTTTGGATTGTTAATTTTATTAAAGACTCTTTCACCTTAAAGTCATATAAAGTGTGCTGAAACTCTAAAACAAGTGTCTGTGTGTGTGCTTGTGTGTAGGTGTGTGTACTTGAGCACAAGGAAAGAGGATTTTGATTTCTTTTTTAGCGTTTAAAAACAAGTGAGGACTAAACAGTGATGTTTATTTGCCCACTTTGCTTGATTAGAAAAATCTTTTTTGTGTTTTAGCCTGCCTGACAGTCTGTACTAAATATTATGATTCAAATATGGTCAATGTTCATGTTTGTATTAAAAGAAAAGAAAGCCTGGCTGGTATGGCTTAGTGGTTGAGCATCAACCCATGCACCAAGAGGTCGCCGATTTAATTCCCAGTCAGGACACATGCCCAGGTTGTAGGCCAAATCCCCAGTGGGGGGCATGCAGGAGATGGCCGGTCAATGTTTCTATCTCTCTCTCTCCCCCTCTTCTTTCCTCTCTCTCTAAAATCAATAAAGATTTTTTTTTGCCCTGGCCGGTTTGGCTCAGCGGTTAGAGCGTCGGCCTGCGGTCCGGAGAGACCCGGGTTCGGTTCCCGCTAAGGGCACGTACTTCGGTTGCAGTTTGTCCCCGGCCCTGGTTGGTCGTGCGGGTGGCAGCCGCTCGATGTGTCCCTTCACGTCGATGTTTCTCTCTCTCTCTCCCTTCCTCTCTCTCCCTCCCACTCTATCTGTACAAGAAATGGAAAAATATCCTCGGGTGAGGATAAAAAAAAAAATAAATAAATAAAATAAAATCAATAAAGATTTTTAAAAATTAAAAAGAAAAGAGAGAAACAGGGACTAACCACTAAACATAGTCATATTTCCTTTGTTATTTACAAACAATTTTTATGCTTTATCTTTTTTCTTAAACTTATTTGCTTTTCATAATGCCATCGTTAGTTCTCTAAGATCTAATCTGATCATTTTTATATGCATGAGTTAATACTACACTTGCATCTTATTTATAAAGCCTTTAAGTAGGTATATCATTCCCCCTTCTATGGAGGAGTATGGTCTAGAAAACCACAATAGAGAGTAGCAATGTTACCAGGATGGTGAAAATTATTGTCCAATAATAATATGTATTTAATTTATTTCTCCTGTGTTGGAGGAGAGAATATAGATATTGTTCTAGTGGTTTAGCCATTTTGATTTCAAAACCATAGCAGGATTAGATTATATTGGTATGTATGCTAATGCATGTTGTGTAGCATTTCAAGTACTAGTATGTCAGAAGTGGTACCAGAAAAAGTTCAAATGTATATGTTACTATTATTAGCTTAGAGAGTACTCACCAAATAAGGTTGGCTTCAGAGCCCCTCTCCACTATCTGTTACACCCTGCACTAAACTTCACTGAACATTCTTTAGGAAACTGCCCTAGAGGAATAAGTGAGGGGGAGAGCATGTTGAAATTTTAGAACTTGTTTCTGCCAGGATACTTAGTTTATTTCACATATGTTTTTTCATCAAATAATACCATTTGTAAGTTTAATGGGTATTCCTTTTTGTAAAAATTCTTTGGTGTCTGTCATATGAGTGACATGTTCCTTAGCTGGCATTTGTGGTTGTCCTCAAACTATCTCTTCCAAGGAAAAGTTAAATTTATTTATTTATTTTTAAGAGGGAGAAGGAGAGAGAGATAGAAACATCCACGTGAGAAACATCGATCAGCTTCCTCCTGCAAGCCCCCTACTGGGAATCGAGCCCTCAACCCAGGCATGTGCTCCAATGAATGGGACTTGAATTGGGACCTCTCAGTCCATGGGACGGTCTCGATGCTCAAATCTACTGAGCCACACCAGCCGGGCAAGAAGTTAATCTTTATATTTAGTACATACAGGATATCTGGAGCCTTTCGGTCTGGTTTAAATTTGAATTAAATTTCATGGATATGCTATATGTTATTTTACTTTTGATAAAAGAAGTCATGAAAGAATTTAAGGTAGATTATGTATTAGCATGCTGAACCTAAGTTTGTATCCATTTATTTCCATTTTCCCCCTCCTATTAGTTACTTGGATCACATTTATCTTTTTTTATTTTGAGACCTGCTACTATTTATGAAACAGCCTGTCAAAGTCTGTACAAAGAATTTGAAACCTGGTTTATCATTGAAGTAAAATCTGATTAAAATGTTAAATGACTTTTAACTTGAAGTTGCATGTAAAATTTTGGTTACATTAGGGTCACTGATAGTCTCTTCAACATGTATAGTCTATTTTCTTTCCTCTGGTTACCGTAGTTTGAAAGATGTTGGTTATTATTTTTATTCTTAATATAAAAATAAAGAGAGCAATGCCAAATAAGGATCTCATCAGCATGAGATAATCAGTAAGAGTAGATTGATAAAATATTTAGTTATTTACATTCAAATGTTAATATATTTACCTTATTTCAAATAAATATATTATTACTTCTATGCTTTTTGAGGTGTTCAAATTAAAATGGCTTATTGTCTGCCATTGCTACCTTCCCAAACCCCTAGGAATCTGAGAGCCTGCAGTTAGAAATCAGTGGATCTGATCCCATTTCCCTTACGGTCGTCCTGTCTTCTTTCTCCTGGTGTCAGTTCTATAAACAACAGAGCTGTGGTTTTCATTATGCCCACTGATTGTAATTTTCATTCTTATGGCTTTACTTTTTACTTATGCTATTCGTTTTCATGGAACACTACCCATCCAAATCTCTCTGATCAGTTTTGTAAACTGTTCCTGATTTTCCCTATCCTAAAGTATTGTCTCCCATCTTAGCTCAAATTGTTGTGTTTGTTTAGCAATTAAATGTCTCGTAACATTCTTCTTATTGTTCACTTGGCTATTACTTGTCTTTTATTATTATTTAACATTCCACATGCTTATGTCTTATTTCCCAACTAGATTATAAACTCCCTGAGGGCAGGTATGATATTTTACATTTCTTTGTGTTTCTTCATTGCATTTAGCACAATGTTACATAGCTTGTAGATAATTTATTGATTTTGTTTTAAATACATATCATTTTAGATTTTTCAAGTGAATGAGCATTTTTTTAAATTAAAACCTAAATACCTATTTGCTTTGTGTTATATTTGTGTATTCAACTAATGCCCAGTAATCTTTAGCAGTTAATTGCTTTAGATTACTAACTTTGTGAATTTTCTGTAACAAATTTTTAATCCCAGTTGGGATATTTCTGGGCAGCCTTCTGCCATAAAATTTGTATTCATATGTATAAAATAATCAATGTTAGTTTGAATAAAAGATTTTGGAAGGTAAGTTACTGCAAGTATAAGATATATTACAGATCCAAACACAAATGAATGTGGGATTATCCACATCATTGTTTTATCCCTACCACTAGATAATTATGTAGAGATATTTAAGCTGATTTACTGGAATTCTTCCCAAAATCAACAAAGTCACTGTTGGTTTTAAAGTTTTGATAAACAAGTAAGGAAAAATTTATAAAATTATTTATAAAGATAATTACTATTTTTTTGTTGTTAATCTTCACCTAAGGCTGTTTTTCCATTGGTTTTTAAATAGAACAGTAGGGAGGGAGAAAGAGAGGAGAAACATTGATGTGAGAGAGATACATTGATTGGTTGCCTCCTGCGTAACCCCTACTGAGGCCAGGACTATACCTGCAACCTAGGTACATACGGTTCCTTGATTAGACTCGAACCCAAGACCCATCGATCTGCTCTAGGCACTGAGCAACTGGCCAGGGCTATAACAATTATTTTTAAATAATACTATTTTGGTACTTATTTGTGGGTAATATAAAACTTTTTCAGCTCAGCTGGTATGGCTCAGTGGATTGAGCGTCATCCCTTGGATCAAGATGTCCCTGTTCGATTCCTGGTCAGGGCACATGCCCAAGTTGTGGGATCAATCCCTAGTAGGGGCTTACGCAGGAGGCAGCCAATCAATGTTTCTATCTCTCTTCCTTCCTCTCTCCAAAAAAAAAAGAAAAGAAAAATATTTTAATTGCTATATGGACACTGGAGTTTGGTAGCTGTGTCCTTAACTAACTTGTTTAATTTGTATCTAGAAGCCACAGAAGAAGTTTCTCTGGACAGCCCTGAAAGGGAACCTATCCTCTCCTCTGAGCCTTCTCCGGCAGTCACACCTGTGACCCCTACTGCACTCATTGCTCCCAGAATTGAATCAAAGAGTATGTCTGCTCCAGTGATCTTTGATAGATCTAGGGAGGAGGTATGGAAAAATGTTTGTATTCTAAATTAAGTTTTTTTGTTTCCCATTCAACATTACTCTCCTGTTAGTCATTTCCAATCAAAGCCTTTTAGATATTTTGGGAGAAGAACATTGGAGTAAAGAAGTCCAGTGATTTGGCTTCTGATTTTATTTTCACCACTTTTTAACCCAGTAACTTAGGCAAATCATTTTACTTTTTTTTTTAACCCTCAGTCAAGAATATGTTCTCCACTGATTTGAGAGATAGAGAGAAACATCAATTGGTTGCCTCCCTTACGAGCCCCGACTGGGTATTGAACCCACAACCTGGATATGTGCCCTGACCAGGTATTGAACCTGCAACCTTTTTCGTGAATGGGACGATGCTCCAACCAACTGAGCCATACTGGCCAGGATGAAATCACTTTCCTTCTTAAGTCAAGGAGTTCATTATTTGTGATCTTATGATGATGTGTGCCTCTCAGGGTTCCTGTTAGTCAAATAAGATAATGTATGAAAGTGTGTTCAAAGCTTAATCACAACAGTGATAATTTTGAGTAATTTTAGTTGATTAAAGCATGCAATTAATGTTAATTATTATGTTGGCAGGGTGGAGGATGGGTTTTAACTGGAGAGAAAGCATAAGAAGGCCTTTTAGGGTATAATGATACGGTTTATTTCTTCATATAGGTTCTGTTTACAGAAATGTGTTCATTGTGAAAGTTATTAAGCTGTACACTTAGGATTTATATATTTTATATATACTACATTTCAAATATGGCTTACTTGTTAAAAATCTATACAAGATGGAACCTTAAAATAAAAAGATTATGGTTACAAAACTCACTTTTCTTTTAGATACCCTTAGACTTTAATATTGCTTTAAAAAGTCAGCAATATTTAACAATATCTGTGGTGTTTGAGAAAAATAGAGTTACCATTAGGATTACTTAAGTAAAATGCCATAAAAAAGTACTTCTCTGTAAGTCTCATAGAGTTATCATTTTTCCTACTTACTGCTTTTTTCAGAGGGTTATAGTGCTTTCATTGGCTTTAAGAACATGTGTTAACTAGGTAATTAAAGAAATCAGATGCTGAAGTTGCTTATTAGTATAATAATTTCTGCAAGTATATAGTGATCTACTGGCAAAAGTAATGGCTATCTGGTTTTAAAGAATAGAGATAAACTTTGAAAAATGCTACTATTAAAAATAATTAAGGAGCTAATTATCTTAATAATCTGAGTCTGAAGATTTGATATATAGAACAAAAAAAATCCACAGTATTCCTACGGAAAAATAAAACATGTTTTCTACATCAAAGGAGTTATAAAATACAAGATTTTGTATTACTTTTTCAAACAATCCTTTTCCTGTTGCCTTTGTGTGTGTGTGTTTTCACATAGTTTGGAAATATGAAAGCTTTTATTTTTTAGAAATGGAGTGTTGAATGGCTTTTTTGATTGATATGATAGTGACCCTAGTAAAAGTTAGATGATAAAATAATAGTGATTAGTATTATGACAATAATAATATGAATTGCAATTTTTAACACACACACACAAAAATTATTTTCCAGATTGAAGAAGAAGCAAATGGAGATGTTTTTGATATAGAAATTGGTGTATCAGATCCAGAGAAAGTTGGTGAGTCAATGTTTATTATATTTTTTACTTGCTTCTTTTTAATAATTAGCTTGGTTATTAATATGCTGTTTTTCTTTACTAAATACATTGTTACAGTGTTAAAATGGTGTTTTTATTTTTAAGCTTGTGAGGGATTTTTGCTTATTTTTATTTTGTCTTTTTTTTTTTCCTAGCTTCATTGAGGTTTAAGTGGCAAATAAAAATTGTATATATTTAGGATGTACAGTGTGATGATTTAATGTATATATACATTATGAAATTAGCACAATTTATTCAGCACATTACCTCATATAGTTAATTACCTTTTTGTGTATGTGTAGTTAAGCTCATGTTTTTAATAGTATTTTACTTTTCTTATAGGTGATGGCATGAATGCTTACATGGCATATAGAGTAACAACAAAGGTGAGACTTTTGCTCCTTTAAAAAGTATTGAGCCCTCGCTATGTATAGTAAATGATGCCTGTCTTTACCAAGGTGACCACCCAGTAAAGATTGCAAATAAATTGTTATAGTGAGTTGTGAGTGGTTTGGTATTCTTTGAGAGTATGCAAGAAGGGACCTAATACAGACAAAGACAGGAGGAAGAAAGAAGAATAGCATGTTCCAGGCAAAGGAATTTGCTTGTGGTAAAAGCCAGAAGTTAAGAAAGCATTGTGCCTGCTAGGATCTGTAAGAAGTGGGACCTGATTGAATTGTTCGGCAGTAAGCCTCCCTATATTATGAATGGCTACCTTATGGAATTTGAACTTTATCCTGAGGATAATGGAAAATGACTGAAGAGATTCAAATAAGAGTGTGGCACAATTAGAGTTTTGTTTTAGAAAGATCTCTCTGACTCAGAATGAATTGAAAGTATTAAAGTAGAGGTCAGGATTTCTAGTTAAGAGGCCATTGTAATTCTTAAAAGGATTGTAGGCCTTCCAAGTCTTAAAAGGGAGAGGGAGTTTATAGGAATCCTAGCTATGAGGAGTAGTATTTTATATTAAGGAACTGGTTCTGGGGGCGAGTGAAATAAATGGCTTCTAGAGTTGTGTAGGAGGTAGAATCGATAGGGCTTGGATATAAGGAGTGAGGAAGGAGGGAATGCTTAAGTTACTAACTAGAGGAACTTAAGGGATCCTGGAGAAAAGGCAACACAGGTGGAGGAACACAGTATGGACAGAGGTGAGATTTGTTAATTCATTGAATAGATATTTATTAAATATGAATATGGGGTTAGGCTATTTTTCAAATACTAGGGTATAATAGTAAACAATATAACCATGTCCTTCCCTTATGGAACTTATGTTCCATCAGGGGAATATATGGTGAATTTGAAGTGGCAGTGAGATTTAAGTGGAGGTGTTCCTTGAACATTCCAGTATGTTGGACTGAAGCTCAGAGGATATCTGAGTCAGAGGTAAAGATTTAAGAATCATCAGCATAAATATAAGTAGAGTCAAAGTAGACCAGTGTCTGTATACACATATATGTTCACAATTATATATGACATTAACTTCTGAATAATTGCTTAGTATTCAGAATTTAAAATACCTCTTTTTCACTTCTAGACTTCTCTTTCCATGTTCAGTAAGAGTGAATTTTCAGTTAAAAGAAGATTTAGTGACTTTCTTGGTTTGCATAGCAAGTTAGCAAGCAAGTATTTACATGTCGGTTACATTGTGCCACCAGCTCCAGAAAAGAGTATAGTAGGTAAGTGTGAATTAAAAAAAACAAAACTTTTGTTTGTTACTGTTAATAGTTCATAGATGATACTTGTTTATTCATCAGATATACCAACCTGAATAAGAATTACATGGTTTTACATAATCCATTTTTAATGACTTTACTGAGCTATAATTAATATGCTATTCATATAAGTGTGTAATTCAGTGGTTTTGAGTATATTCAGACACATTCATTTTAGAATATTTTTATTATCCCTTAGCCATCATCCTCTAATTTCCCCATCCCCCCAGCCATAGGTAATCACAAATTTATTTTCTTTCTCTATAAATTTGCCTATTTGCCTATTCTTTTATATAAAGGGAATCATATAATATATGGTCCTTTGTGAAAAGCTTCTTTCACTTAGCATAGTATTTTCAAGGTTGATCAATGTTGTAGCATTTATCAATACTTTATTTCTACAGAATTGATTTTTTTGAAAGGAAAAAGAACAGGAAAAGAAAAATCTTGTCTTCTGTATTAGTGTTAAAATTGAAATTGCCAATACAGAAATTATCAGTATGATTTTTAATTTTTAAATTTGAAGAGTTCTAAATGTCTCTATGAAAGAGCTCGTTGTCTTCAATTATTATAAAACAGCCATGATAGCCCTGGCCAGTTTGGCTCAGCGGTTAGAGCGTCGGCCTGCGGTCCTGAGAGACCCGGGTTCGGTTCCCGCTAAGGGCGCGTACCTCGGTTGCAGTTTGTCCCCGTCCCTGGTTGGTTGTGTGGGTGGCAGCCACTCGATGTGTCTCACATCGATGTTTCTCTCTCTCTCTCTGTTCCTCTCTCTCCCTCCCACTCTACCTGAACAAAAAATGGAAAAATGTCCTCGGGTGAGGATTAAAAAAAATAAATAAAAAATAAAAAAATAAATAAAACAGCCATGATAAATAAGAATGTGTTCTTTGAATTTGCAAGAGAGAATATTTAGCAAATTCATGGATTACACTTATTTATTTTCTTACTCTTAAGGTAAAGAACCTTAATTATTGCTAATAAGAAATGAAACTATTAAGTTTAATTTTACTAATATGAATTCCATTGAAATGTAAACACATTTTAATTTACCAGGAGTGTAACATACAACAGATAAGGAATCCAAAAGTTATGGATCAGAAAACTACAGACAGTTCAACCTCTGCTTTATTTATAAGTACTTACTGGTAGAATTAATGTATCATGAGTTTCAACTTTTCAAAAGTATGATACTAATGATAAATTTAGGAGCTTTTTGTCAAGTTCAGATTTAGAATATATTTTAAATTAGTCAGAAATGATAATAAAAGACTGTTTCATAATATAAAATCATCACGAGTCTCATTCAATTTTTTTCAAAGGCATGACCAAGGTCAAAGTAGGTAAAGAAGACTTATCAAACACTGAATTTGTAGAAAAACGAAGAGCAGCTCTTGAAAGGTAATTCTAGACAGTTCTGCTTTATTACACTCATGTTTTACTTCAGTTATATAAGTATAATCCATTATATGGTACAACAATTTCAGTGATTAATTTTTTTTTCAAAATACCACTTGATGACTCTTATCAAAAGTGCTTTAAACTTTTATTAAGAAAATTACTTCTTTAAACAACTCAATATTGTATGCTTGTTCTGCTTTTAATAATTCTCATTAGTAGTCTATCAAATACCACTTGTTTTTGTACTTTGTTACAAGCAGCAATATAAAGGCATGAGTTAGTTGAGGATAGAATTATGCCATAGCTGTAGTCAACAAGAGAAGTAGGAAAAAAAGAAAACATGAATCATGTGAATGGGGGGAAAGGGTTAATAAAAATGTTTTGATTAAAAAATAATCTCTTTAGTTTTGTTTAGTTCTTAGGAATTTATACTCATTTATGTGAATGTTGGATAATTTGGCTAATTATAGTTCATCTAAATTAATTTTTCCTTTGAATTATTACTAGGTAAGATTATTAAATACACTGAATAATTAGGTTTGTGTTCCTCCTTTAATTTTATTGTATAAAAGTAGTATTGCCTGCTGGAGTTGACTATATGTTTAAAGGCTAGTATATATGCTCTACCTTCCTTTAAATACTTGACTCAATACATTTCCTATGGCTTTGAAGACTTGTTTTTATTGTGGCTGACTAAAAGTGCAGTGGATAGGAGGATTCCCATTTCCAGAATCTTAACATTTATTTTTTTCTTGCTATGCTGAAAATGTGAGAAAACAATTTTGAAACTATCTTGAAGTACCAACTTTTAGAACATAAGTACATAGCATTACCTAAAGTTAAAACATTTGTAATATCATAGGATTGGTTTTTTTGGTTTTGGTTTTGGTTTTTGTGTTTGTTTGTTTTTTGCTGTTTTTATTGAATTTTAATTTAATTTGCTTGCTTGTTATTTGTTTTATTTTTTATTTTGGCTTAAAATCAGTGATTGGGGTGAGAATGGTGTTAGAGATTTTAGTAAGTGGTATATACATTATCTCCAGGGCACAAAATATCTTTTAAAACTATTTTAAGGCAACTTATTTCTGGGTTTTAGTAATAAATTACTTAAAAGAAAATGCCACAGTAAAGTCAGGTTTGAATAATTGCAGTAAGAAAAGCGAAAGGATATGCTGTTTAACATCTTATATCAGAGAAGACTTGGAAGATAAGATTGTATCTAGACCACTTGTCAGGATGGTGGCACAGTACTCAACTCCTCCCACAACCATCAAATTTACAACTAAACTACAGAACAACCACCATTCAGAACTGCCTCAAATTGAATTGAATGGAAGTCCTACAACTACAGAATTAAAGAATAAGCCACATTAAGACTGGTAGGAATGGTAGAGACGAGGAACAGGCTGGTCCCATACCCATGAATGTCAGATAAAAATCAGGAGGGATATCTCGACTGTGGAGGTTCCCCTCTGAGGAGTAAGGGGGTCCCAGTTTCACACCAGACCCTCAGCCTAGGGTTCCTCGAAGAGAATTCCCCATAACATCTGGCTGTAAAATCCTCAGCAGGGATTGAGGCTGAGGGAGACAGAGGCTGCTGGAATCTCAGGCAGTACTTCTTAAAGGGCAAAACACAGACTAACTTAGACTAATTCCTTCTTAGTTTCAGCGCAGGGGCAGCAGCTTGAAAGGCACCAGAGACATACAGGGAGGAACTGAATTGTCCAGGATCAAGGCAAGAGCTTGGGGGCAGCTTTCTCCCAGACAGAAGTACTGGCAGAGGCCAGTGTTCCTTTGATGAGCCCAACCCCACACAGCTAGCAGGCAGGCACCATATCTAAGACTCCATCAACCTTCCCCACACTGTTTGACCTGTGCTGTTGATTGCCTGAGGCCTTGCCCCATTCAACTTTCAGACCCACCCATATTTGTCCATTGGGATGGTCTGTCTTGGCTCATGCTTCAGATTTTGCTAAAATCTCTCAAACAAACAGCATCTGGCTTCAGCGAGCCCTATACCTCTTGCTAAGTGGCACCAGGCCCAGACTAGCAATAGCCAGCCTTGGTTCACAGCTTGGCCTTACCTGGTACCTCCAAGTCCAGCACAGGTAGCAGCCATCTGCCGAATGCTTTATAGCTCATGACAGGTAGCATTGGGCAGAACACAAGCAGTGGCTGACTGTGGCTTACACTTCCTGGGAGGCCCTGGAGCCAGCACACCCAGACCACGTTAAGCACCACCACTTAATCACTTGCATAAATGACATTCAAGGGTGGACTCAGCAGGCACCAGAGCCCCACTGAAGTAAGTTCTACTCTGTGTGGTGGGCCCCTGCACAGCTGATCCTCCATGGTGGTCAGTCGGTGGTCAGTGGTTACAGCCAGTACTTGCAGCTCATTGGCCTGGAGGTAAATCTCTTTCATTGATGTGCCAACAATAATCAAGGCTCAACTGTAAGAGGAGGTTGTACATAACCAACATGGGGGAGCACATCTCAAGCACCAAGCTTGGGTGATCAGGAGGCTGTGCCACTGGAATCTATAGGACACTTACTACATTAGGCCACTCTACCAAGTCTGGGAGATGTACCAGCTCTATAGAAACAAACATAGTGAAGCCACCAAAATGAGGAGACAAGCATGTCCCAAACGAAAGAACAGAACAAACCTCCAAAAAAGAACTAAACAAAATTGAGACGAGCAATCTACTAGATGCAGAGTTCAAAACACTGGATATAAGGATGCTCAGTGAACTTAGTGAGAACTTCAACATGAAAAAGGACCAGTCAGAAGTGACATAGGATACACTAACTGAAATGAAGAGTAATTTACAGGGAGTCAACAGTATAGTAGATTAAGCCGAGTATCAGAACAGTGATTTGGAATGTAAGGAAGCAAAAAACACCCAATCAGAGCAGCAAAAAGAAAAATGAATCCAAAAAAATGAGGATAGTGTAAGGATTCTCTTGGGACAACCTCAAGCATACCAACATTTGCATCATAGGGGTACCAGAAGGAGAAGGGAGAGCAGGAAATTGAAAACCCATTTGAAAAAATAATGACAGAAAAATTACCTAACTTGGCAAAGGAAATAAATATACAAGTCCAGGAAGCACAGAGAATCCCAAACAAGATGATTGTCACATGATAATTAAATGCTAAAGGTTAAAGACAAAAAGAGAATCTTAAAAGCAGCAATAGCAAAGCGGTTACTTACAAGGGAGCTCCCAGAAGACCATTAGCTGATTTCACAACAAAAACTTTGTAGGCCAAGAGGGATTGGCAACAAATACTTAAAGTGATGAAAAGCAAGGACCTATAACTAAAATTACTCTACCCAGGAAAGCTGACATTTAGAATTGAAGGAAAGATAAAGTGTTTCCCAGACAAGAAAAAGCTAGAGGAATTCACTATCACCAAACCAGTATTATATGAAATGTTAAAGGATCTTGAAGTGAAAGAAAAAGAAGAAGAAAAATATTTAAAATATGAACAATAAAATGACAACAAATATATATCAACAATTGAATCTAAAAAACGAAATAAATGAACAGGCAGAACAGAAACAGTCTCATAGATACAGAAAATATATTGATGATTGCCAGATGGAAGGGGGTGAGGGATGGGTGAAAAAGATGAAGAGATTAAGAAGTACAAATTGTTTGTTACAGAATAGTCATGAGGATCTAAAATATAGCATAGGGAATATAGTCAGTAATATCCTGATAACTGTGTAGTGTCATATGGGTTCAAGATTTATTGGGATGATCACTTAGTCAGTTATATAATGTCTAATCACTGGGGTGTATACCTGAAACTAATATAATAATGTATGTCAACTGTAATTGAAAATAAAGATGATAACAAAGATTAGATTATATCTCTGACAATCAGCAGTTATTCAAGAAAAAGATTTAAATTGCATCAAAAGATGTTTAGGTTAAGTATCAGAACTGCTTTTGTTGGGAACAAGGTCATACACCAAACATTTTTAAGAATAAAGATAGATAATGCTCTGCCTTGATTTCACTTAGAACTTCCTGAAAGTGTAACCATGACCCTTTGAGAAACCTTTCAAGTCCTATTTTTCTATGAGTAAATTTGAAATATGTTGGATGGCATGCTTGATAAGGAACTTAATGAAGATTTATTGTACCAAGCACATATAATTTGATTCCTCATTCTCCTTTCTTGTAACTTGAATGCATTGCATAGTGCTTACCATACCTTCATGCAGTATGAAACATTGAGGAGAGTTTTAAGGTAATATTGAAACTTAATCTAGTATATATGTGAAGACAGTTTCTTTCCTGATAAATATTACCTATTAAATACTATTTTGGTGGAATTTGTAGTAGTGAAAGAAAAACAGTGTACTACTGAGGGGATATTTTATTTTGTATTAAAAAGATGACTGAAGAAAATTATAGGTGTTATTATATAAAAACAAGGGAATTGGAATAAATTTTCTAAAGTGATCTGTGTCCTTTCTTAAAACTGAAATGTTAGGACAGGCATATCTGTAGAATATCCAACCTCATCAAATCTGGTAGGTCAGGGAAATACTTCTCTTTGTATATACTATGATAGTCATTTACACATTTATTTGGTCAGTTTAGAGGATCCAGGTGACTCTTGAAAGGATAAACATCTGGTATTAAATTATAGGAAGAGAAGGGGAGTGGTTAGGAACTCAAGTACTTTCTTTTGCCACACTCAGTGAATTAAGTGGAAAGTATTTCTATTAGAGTATCTCTAACATCACTCACTTGATTTTCTTGAGAGTGCTTCACATCTTACCTTCAGAGCATATTGAGTTTATTTTATAGGAAAGGATACACTTCTGCAAATACAAACAGAAATATAGAGTATTATGATACAGTGTGCACATTTAGAATCCTTTCTCTGTTGAAGCCTGAATTTCACTACACACTGCACACCCTTTGTGACCTTAGGCAAGTTTTTTAACTTCAATTCATTCTTTATCTCTAAGATGTAAG